ATTTAACGTGACAGAAACTTGTGTTCAGTGTGTAGAATAGAATTTTTTTTTTGATAAAAATCAAAATAGAACGAATGTGCTTTTTATCATGGGAGTTGTTGTTAACAAATGAGGTAAAGGACGGAGTAAGATAAGTTGGCTCAAAAGTTTGGAGGCAGAAGGAAACAAATCCCAGCTCAAAGTAGAAAAAGTCCACTGTTACAAATTATAAGGCCTTAAAGGGAATTTATACCAGGCTGAGATCCTCATAGGAATAACATCAGTTCCTCCCAACCTCAACCATTAAAATGGGTTTTCATTAACTTTCTCTAAACTTTGCTGTTTTATTGTGAAATCTTTTTTTATGTGATACAAACCAGAGTCAAACCAGAGCAGCTGCAGTTTGTTTTAATTCATTTACTTCAAAGTGAATCATTCCATGCAGGTTTCAAATACTAAAATATCCTGCAGATGGTTTGTGGAGCAGAAAATGGATTAACTAAATATATATAAAACAAAAGCATGTTTGTGTACAATTATCTACATGGTTTCTTCAATGACAGGATATAAAACGGTGCTTTTTTTTTGGTTGGGGGTGACGAGTCACAAGCTGACATCACACTTTCATCGTGACAGGAAATAGTGAGCAACAACAGGAAATATTTCAAATGTCTGTTTATGTGTGTGTGCTTGTGTGTGTGTTTGTGTGTGCGTGTGTGTGTRTGTGTGTGTCTGTGTCTGTGTCTGTGTGCTAATCCCTGTTTCTTGACCGTCAACCTTGAACCTCAGCAGTTTTACCTTTGAGTTGAGTTTTCACTAAATGAAACAGGATGTTTCAGCTCTCAGTGGCCGAATCAAACCGCAGAGAAGCTCTTCCTGTTTCGACAGGAAACAACAGGAATGACGATACAGAGCGATGGAGAGACAAAGACGACTAATAGATTAGCTGTGGTGTTGTTGCTCAGTTTGTCGCAGGAGGTTCAACACTCGAATTCCTGCTTCCTGGAGCGTCGGCAGGAGAGACGACCCTCTGCCTCCAACATGAGCGTCTCTCTGCATCTCTGTCTTTCATCAAGCAAACAATCAAAATGAAGAAACGATCCAAAGGGAAAGTTTCCCACAGTGAAAGACAAAATGAAACAGGAACATGTACAGTATACACACTTTTGATTTTGCAGAGGATTTTGCAGTTTTTAAGATCAAACCTCTCAGTGGTTTTCCTCAAGTTTGACTTGACTGGTTGGTCAAAGGTCAAGGTCACAGTGACCTCATATGAATCTGGGGAACAAGATGCATGTAGATGGAAACTGCAATGGTTGACTGAGGCATGCAGCTGCAGGACAGTAGATCTGCTCTAAGGAGGAATATAAATCATTTGAAAATAAATCAGGAGAGTGACTTCCCTCCGATTCTGTTTTAACAGCACACTCAGTTTGTCCTGAACGCAGCAAGAGAGAAGAGGGACATGGAGCAGAGACATGCTGCGATCAAGAAAAAGGTAAAAGAGAACGTTTGGTTAAATCCCAAAATAAAATCCTGCCACACCTTTTATTCACTTGTAGTAATTACTGTAAAATCTACTTTTTGGTATTTTATTATCAGCACTTCTGATGCGTGTCCGATTAAAATTTTCTTCTACACAGCCCTTATACTCTGTCGGACCGATTGATTGATTGATTGATTGTAATATCATCTTTCTTAACTATTTGCAGGACGTCTCCTACGATGACTCCATCATGGATTTCAATGCAGACGCAGCTAATGGGATTGCCATGGAAGGATACCTCTATAAGAGAGCCAGCAACGCCTTCAAGACCTGGAGCAGGTATCAGTTCACTTGTGCAGTAACAGACGAGCCATGTCCTGTTTGTCTTTGTCTGTCTGTGTTTGAGCGACAACAATGAATTCAAATTTTCTTCCTCCTCTTCAGACGCTGGTTCTCAATTCAAAAGAATCAGCTGGTTTATCAGAAGAAATTCAAGGTATATTTTAAATGGTGTCTTTAAAAAGCAATTGTCATAGAACACGTAGATGGATTTGAAGACAGACGTTCACATGTACTCAAACACACGCCCGCAGTCTGACCCCCATGTCGTTCCTGTGTGCGTCTCTCTCTCTCTCAGGATCAGCCCACAGTTGTGGTGGAGGACTTGCGTCTCTGCACAGTGAAGCACAGCGCTGAAAACGAGAGGCGCTTCTGCTTTGAAGTGGTCTCCCCTTCAAAGTGAGTTTGCATGAGTGAACGTTCCTGATGACGTTAGTGCATATGTGTGTTTTCATCAGCGTTAAGTGCATGGAGTAAAGGGTCCCGCGGAAAGAAATGAGGTGATTACAGTGAGTGTGTGTGTGTGTGTTTGTGTGTGTAGGTGTTGTTTGTTGCAGGCCGACTCGGAGAGGCAGCAGCAAGCCTGGATCACTGCCGTCCAAAACAGCATCGCCTCAGCCTTTCAGGAGTGCAGGGAGGACCCAAACAGCCCAGTGAGAACACACACACACACACACACACACACACACACACACACACACACACACACACATTATCATCTATAAATACATTTTTCTGTGGGAGTTATTCGCCTTTGTGTGTGTCCCCTCACTCTTTTATGTGTGTGTGTTTATCAGAGACAGCGCTGCAGTTCGGTGTCTGCGAGTAGTTTGTTAGGCGGGGGAGGAGGAGGGGGAGGAGGTGCAGATCAGCAGAACGGGGGCTTCAAGGCGCTGGAGGAGGTTCAGTCGATCCCAGGGAACCGGGAGTGCTGCGACTGCGGAGAGCCCGGTCCCGACTGGGCCTCCATCAACCTGGGCATCACGCTCTGTATCGTCTGCTCGGGAATACACAGGTAGAGTGCACACACACACACACACGCACACACACACACACACGCACACACACACACACACACACACACACACACACACACACTTGGCTTGAGCTCTAATAGTTTTGCTGCTTTAACAGGAGCCTGGGAGTCCATTTCTCCAAAGTGCGCTCGCTCACTCTGGACTCCTGGGAGCCAGAACTCGTTAAGGTAATTCAGTCTTTTAACTACACAACCTCATTATTGCCTTTTCTGTGTTAACACAATGTTCCAATGATTGTGCAACACATAACGTGACAGTTCCCTCTAACCTAACTATCCAAATCGACTTAATTGGCGATGAAACATTTCTTTTCTTTCTTTCTTTAGTTGATGTGTGAATTAGGAAACACAGTAATCAACAGGATCTACGAGGCGCGCGTCGATAATATGACCCTCAAGAAGCCACATCCCTCCAGTCCCAGGTACTAATAATCAATATCTATCAATCTGCAGACATTAAAGGGCAGTTTCACTGATTCTGCTCTTGCCGTTTAGTTTACGTAAGCCTAGAAAGAACTGCTCTGTGTGTGTGTGTGTGTGTCGTCATGGCAAAATGTGGTCCTACTGTAGCAGAAACTACCACAGAGGTGGTTTGTGTGTCACTGCAATAACATCACAACTGTGCATGCCACAAAACTTCACAGGTGTGCATTGTAGATGAAAGAAGGGTGTGTGAATGAATACCGAGCCGTCATGTGATAATGACGTAATGACTTCTGAGTACTCGTGGACTGGAGTGTCGGTGTTGAGGGGCGGAGCTGAGAAATCAATCTCTTCCTGCTGTTTTATCAATGGCTTCACACAAAGATGATTGAATTCATATTTGTTTTACACTGATGTTAAAAAACAGACCCGTCACTCTGATCGGCTGCAGATCTCCACAGCCGACAAATCTCTTCGCACTTATTTTTAACTTCCTCTTCTGTCTTCTCATGCATCGCAGCAGACAGGAAGTGCCACAGGTACGAGATGCATGTGTCTAACAACGTGACTTCAGAGTCTGGAAACTTGTCGTGAGGCTGCATGATTTCTGCAGCACGAGCTTTTATTCCTGTCATGTGTTATTTAATCATTTTAGTGTCTCACTCACATTTTTAAATTTAACTTTTTTTTTGCCATTTGTACGTATTTATAAACCTAATGTGTGATGTTACACAGCTGATACACATGGATGTAAATATTCTTTAGGTTAAAGAAAACTTACATTTGTGCCATAATTCCTTTTTTTCAGACCTAGATGGATTTATTTTTAGCTGAATTTATGACTTTATTAAACTAGAATGGCTTTCAGGGAGCGCACACTCGCAATGTTAAAGAAATCCTGGATTTCTGCTGTGATCTGGATCTGCTCCAAAATTTAGGTCATTCCCCACCCCTCCACAAAAGTGTATGCTAATTCATTCTGTAGTTTTTGTTCCATCCTACAAACTAACAAAAAAAATGCAGATGAAGATATAACCTCAGTTCTCAATAGAGCTGTGTTTAACATTCTTGTTGCACAGCAGCACAACCAAGCAGCGGAGTCCCACCGAGAGTGTGTGAAACTGACAAACACAGCTCTGCATGTTGTCGCCTTTTGTTTTGTACGTTGTCTCATTTTGTCCGTGTTTCTCGTCTTCGACATGTTTCTGCTTCTCAGAGGAGACAAGGAGTCTTGGATTCGATCAAAGTATGTTGAGAAGAAGTTCATCCAAAAGCTGCCGGAGACCGGCCGAAACTCTCTGCAGAGGCTGTCCAGTGGTAAAAAGGCCCGCGCGTCCACGCAGGACCGGACGGTGCAGCGGCCGCCGCTCAAACCCAAACCGAACCGAGCCACTCTGCCCAGGGTCACAGGTAAAGAATGAGAGAAGGGATGCAGAAATATGTGGGCTGATGAAGATGTAAAGGCTGGTTCCATCTGTTGCTGATGGTCACAAAACACACACACACACACACACACACACACACACACACACACATACATACACATACATAAAGACACAAAGGATTATCAGCTTTTGCTGGATCACCAAGTCTGGGGAGTGTGTGTGTGTGTGTGTGTTTGTGTGTGTGAGTGTGAGTGTTTTGCTTGGGGTAGTCAGCAGGATAAACCAG